TGCACCACGACCCAGGCCCAGCGGGACTGCCGCCTGCACTGGGTCCCTGTGCCCGGCGTCACCGGCACCCTCACCCCTACATTCTGCACAGAAATTATTATTCAGAATTTACATCACAAGGTTGCATTCTTTCCTATTTCCCCGGAGTTGACATTTTTTGTCTCTATTTTTAGCTTTGTTAAAAAACTGTTCTCTCAGGCTGTGTAACCATCTTTCCTGGAGATTGCACACGATTAAAATACATTTCCGTTCTCAGCGGCCAGCCATAAGAGGGCTGACCCTGGTCTTGCTGTCAGTTACACAGAATGAACCAACGTCCTGTGCCCTGGGAACTAGCAGGGGTGAATTGATGGGCGCCCAGCCCGGGCTCAGGCTGCACTGGACGTGGCCGGCTTGTCTGCTTTCCCTTCGCATGTCCTTGCAGAGAAATGGAAGGATAAGCAAAGGCAAGTCATGACCCAGGGCGCACAGGTCAGCGTTCAGCATCTTCACAGCAAGATCATAAGCTGGGTTTCACTCTCTCCATTTTATAGATGAGAAAACTGAGGCTCAGAGAAGACAACTGGCTGGCCCTGTGGCCTGAAAACAGTGAGTGGCAGAGCTGGACTGGGCTTCTGCTTCTCCCTACACAAAGCCCTTGAGAATGAGCCCCACTTCCAGGGGTGATGGCTTTTGGGGGGCCCTGATGGGCCCTCACCACTTGGCCGAGGACCTGGTGGGTTCTTTTTTGCAGAAGCCCCCTCCCTTGCACACAACAGCCAGCCGCACTTTCCCGGGTCTCCAGGTCTCTGAATGGACTGTGCCCTCCACCCAGGAGCCCCAGCTTCCTTCCTGCCCCTTCCCTCCGGCAGTGAGTAGTGCTCATCTTCCAGGCATCAGCTGAGGTGCCAGTCCCGAAAGCCCTCCCCTGGGCAGGGCTCGGGCTCCCAGCACCGATGGCCCTGGGGGGAGGGCCCAGTCTGGTCTCCCATGATTCTGAGTTCCACCCCTGCCTGTGCCCACTGGGACTCAGAGACCTGCTACAATGAGCCCCAGTGGATGAACCCATATCTGCCTGCCAGACACCAAAGCAGGCCATCTTTCCAGTTTGCCACAACTGAAGAGATCATGTCTCTCTTGTAGCTTCCTCTATCCTCTTCCTGACTTGGCTTCTAACATCTGAAGATCCCGTTGGTCTTGAGCCACCTGCGGTCAGCTCTGCCCAGCGTCTTGTCCAGCAGCACGATATTGCAGGCAATGCTGCCCCCTGGTGGCGCCTCTCTGCTCTGTGGCTCTCTCCCCGCCTACGGGTCTCAAACCAGAGCAGGAGGCAGGCCTGCTACGACCCAATGAGGCCCCAAAGCTGTGACTTTCCCGAATGGCCTGAATTTAACATTTTTCTAATTATAAAATTCCAGAAAATCCAAGACCCAGAACGCTGAAAAGAAAATAAAGTTTACTTGTAAATCCAGAGATACCAACTGTTTGGGGTCAACCACTTTGGTATATATCCTGCTAACATGCCTTATACATGTATCAGTGCATCTATTATTGGAAAATTAGATTACCACCCGCAGAGGTTTTGAAAAGTAGCACTTGTTGTCCTATGTCCTGAGTTCAGGAGCAGAAGGAAATCTGGAAATTCAGAAAAGCATTATGGAGAAAATTAAAAAATCAACTTACAAACCTACCATCCAGTGATAGTCTTTCTCTTTTTCCTCCATGGAGTTTCTATTTGTGAGAAATCAACTGTGATTTGTCCATCTCCCTGTCCATCTATCTTGAAAGAAGGGCCTCGCGATTAGGTGCGCTTGCACCGTTTTCCTGCCGGGGGCCCTCTCTGGACACATCCTCCAACCTCCCCTTTGTCTGCCTTCCCCAGGGGGCTCCTCGGGAGCAGCGGGCCCTCCGAGAGCCTGGGTGTATTCACATCCGTGGGACGGACTCTTAGACGTGGGAATGCTGAACGGAGGGCATGTGCTTTTGTAAGTTTTGAGAGATGCTGCCAAACTGTCTCGTCCAGGCAGCTTCCACACCCACCCACCTGCGGTCCCCAGAGGGACTGTTCCGGGGAGGGTCGCCGACCGTGTGGGCGAACTCCTGGCCCCGGGCCACTCACGGCTGAGTGTGCACTGTGCTGAGCCCCAGGGGAAGTGCTGCCTCTTTATGGCTGCGCACCAGACTCTCACCATTACTCAGAAGGAAGTCATGTTTTCTTCGTTTTACAGATGAAGAAGCTGAGGCTCAGAGAGTGTGGCCTGACTCAGTTCGTCCTCACACCCACCCACTGGTTCTCGATCCTGAGCAGTTTCAGAACCACTCAGGGGCTTCGAGAGGTTGGCTGGGCCCTGTAGAGTTTCCGATTCAGTAGGTGTGGAGGGGACCTGCGACCCTCCATCTCCACGTCCCTGGGGTGCGGCAGCTGCTGGTCTGGGGACCACTCTTTGAAAAACAGTGCTCCTGACGCTTACTGTACCCGGGACCCGATCTGGGCGTGGCCTCACAGACCTAACTTGAACCTTGGCTGGGGAGTCTTTTGAACTCTGTGCGGCATAGAAACCTTTCCTCTGTGTGTGTTGGGGGTGGGGCACGGGACTCCATCTCACACAGTCTCTCGATGGCCCCCAAGTTAGGTTTGTGGCGAGTGATTTTATTCCTCTGTGGCTTTCCCCTCCCTTTTAAGTGGAGATGAAGTGCACAGGAACCCTTGGGGGTGTTGCAAAGAGTAATGTATGAAACAACAGCAACAACAACCCAGCTTTGGAGACCAAAGCTAGTTGTAGTCACTCCTGTTGCTGGAGAGGCTGGGGCTGGACAGGCTTGGGCCCAGGTGGTGGCCGGGCCACCGCATGGCAGCGATCAGTCCACTTCTCTGATCCTCAAGTTCCTTCTCTTAAAAAACGGGACTGCTGTGGACTCCTCGAGGTTAAACAAGCACCTGTGTGTGTCATCCCCGCCGCCCTTTCTGCTCCAGAAGCTCTGTGGGCAGTGGCGTCGTGTCCTCGGTGACGAAAGGGCTGGACCACGGTCAGGCCCTGGCTGCTAACAGCCCTTTTCCCTGGGGTTCCCGGGGTTGTGTTCATTTCCAGCTCTGTCTCCAGAAAAAAAGAGAATCTCACACCCCGTGTCCCCTCCACAGCCTGGCAGTGACCTTTCCGCAGCACAGAATGGACTGGTTTCCCCAACTGGAAACTGGGAGTGTGAGAACACTTGTTCAGGTTCCTGGGAAGAGCCCAGGTTGGACCTGGTGACCGCGGGGCCCCTCAGCTGGCGGTGACAGTTGTCTGAGGTGCTGGAGATGTGCCCCTGGGTGAAAGGGGGGTCCCCGCCTTCGTAAGCCCGTCGATCCTGCGTCCCTAAGTGTGGCAGGGTGGAACCTGGGTGCTCCTGGAATCCAGTGAGGGGTAGATACATAAACTCACAGAAAACAACAAGTCGGTCTGCAGTCATTGGCCCGGGGAAGCCCAGACCTCTGGGGAGGACAGACGCATGGCTCCGCAGCCTGAACTCAGGCTGTGATGTGTCTGGGGCTCCTGGAATCCTGCAGCTTCTGGCTCTGCGCTGGGGCTGGGGCCCACGGACGTGTGTTTCTAACAAGCGGGGACGCAGCTGGTCTGGGTCCACACTTTGAATATCGGGGGTTTAAGTGATACCTTCAATCAGGCGTATCAAACTCACTTTCACCAGGGGCCACATCAGCCTCACAGTTGCCTTCAAAAGGCCTAATGTAAGTTTAGGACTGTGTAAATGTAACTACTCCTTAATAGTTAAGCGAGAGCTCGGCACTGCCACCGGGTAGAAACAAGGCGGAGGGTCGGATTCGGCCTCGGGCCTTGTGTTTGTCACCTGTGCCTTAGGTCAGTCAGCACCCAGAGGCAACCTGGTAGTCCCTCCGTTTTCAGTGAGATTCTGAACACAAAGGCAAGACTGCTTTCGTGAGCGGGCTCTGGCCGCTGGCAGTTCTGGACGGGCTGTCCACATTTTCCGTGTGGGTGTCGGCTCTCGGCTTCCGCTCCGGGTTTCCAGGCACCTGCAGCAGGTGTGGGCAGCCCCAGCTTTCTGGTCGTGAGCAAGCTGCCCCCTCGTCTGTCTCGTTTGGGCAAAACCTTGTTTGGCAATTTAAAAAGACGGATGCGGGCAACTTGTGTAACCATTTTCATCTGGTATCTTTAGTGATTTGTGGGTTATCTCTCGGGAAGATGCCCAGGCTCTGAAATCTTACCACTGACATTGACGCAGCAGCATTCCGAGTCCCGTCCAGGGCCTCTAGGACAAACATGTGTCTGACCCGCATTCACTGATTGGGCGTTGGCTGTATGCCAGGCAATACGCACACAGCTGCTCAGGGATTCTCCCATCTTATCTTTACAACAATTCTATGGAGCCCAGGCCAAGATTTTCTCTAAAACCCGAAAGGAGCAAAGCTGAAGGTCACAAAGAAAGGTCAGCAGCCCAGGTGCATAGAATAAGGGACTGAACCCAAGATTACACTGGCACTGACCCCTAGCCCCAAGCTCTTGGGTATTTTAAGTGACTTAAGTGACGAATGGTGTGATGGTAGCCAAATATGCAGAGATGTGACCGAGAAGATCAAGACGCTTCACTATCGTTTCACTAAGTCTGTTCACAAGGCCCTCCCCGGTCGGGGGGGTGTGCCATCTCCCCGGGAAGGATGGCAAGTGTTAGTCCCATATCAGCATCTGACAAACAACATAGCAAAGGGTCCTGCCCGCCATGTGTGTGGTGTCCATCACCAGGGCGTAGAGCAGGACCACACCCCTGTGCCCGTAATTCACGTTCCGTGTGTGTGTGTGTGGGAAGGGTGTGCTCTGTGTGTCCGGTGCTGAAGGAGGGGGAAGGCTGGTGGCCATGAGAGACGTATTCCCTGCTAAAAGCATCATACAGAGTCTCTCTGCACCGCGAGGTAGGGATGGTACCCCTGAGAGTGTGTTTCAGTGGAAGGCGCCATCCACAGTAACATAAAAACTGCGTCACCCTTTCCGTACACACACAAGAGACAGTTTATTTTCATTCTGAGTTTATTGAGCGCTCATCCAGGGGCACTGAAACGATACTCGGGTTCCAGCCCAGGCAAGACATCGTGCTGACCCTGCAGTAACACCTGCGGGTCGGCAGGCACCACAGCCGCGCTCCCCCGGCCCCTGTGACGGCGCCGCGAGTGACCGTGGGTCCTTCCAAGCTCACCGAACTTCACATGAACTTTTCTCCAGAACAGGCATTTCTCAGAGCTCAGCAAAGATCACCAGTTCTGGTTCCTTTGTTCCTTTTTCTAAAGCCACGATTAAACGAGACAGTAAACATCTCTATGTAAAAGCATCAAGAGCTGGAAACTTCCCCAAGTAATGTTTAGAAAGACCCAGCTCCAGGTTTGTTATTCCTTTGATAACAATGCTTTGGCCACACGGTCCCCAGGGTGTCAGCCTTTCAGTTCGTCGGCCAGAGAGAAGACCCTGGAATGGAGCCACCAGTGACCCTGGGGAGAGAATTCAATCCACTGGGGCGAAGGGGCTGGGCCTCCGGTGCTCTGGCTTCTTGGGAAAAGCACCCCTGAAGCACCTCATGGAGACCTGCCTGGAGTTTCAGGCTTTCCCCCCTTTTTGAAGAGAAGCGCCCAAGGCCAGAGTGTGGAACTGCTCCTGGTTGGCAAGGGGAGCGTTCTGGGGGCACGAAGGAAGGCTGGGAGCAGCCCAGGCTTCAGACCCTTCCCTCCCTTCAGAGAAGAAGCACAGACACAAGGCACGCCATCTTCTCTTCACGGGGAAATTCGGTCCGGTCCTGCTGTCGGGGGGAGTCCGCCAAGACAGGTGCCCACGCTGTTTTTCAGTCCCCATCTCTGAATTGTGGTAGGATTGAATGGTAGTCCACGCGCAGTGATACCTCTGGCCTACGCCTTTGAACACCCTCACACCTGAAGCATAACCTCTGTTACCTAAAGTATATTAAATATGCAACTACCCAGATGATGTAAGCAGTGGTCCACGGACTCTTTATTTCTAAACAGGGTGGGACGCAAGACACATCATTCAAGTAGAATTCGCTTAGTCACTGATTTACAGACATATTATTTCTGTACTGTTCTGAAGGCCAGAGAGATCCAGAAGGATGGCAAAAAAGGACTTTTGGGACTGGAACTGTGCTGTCACTTCTAAAAATGATCAGAGGAAGGAGCATCAGCCCAGTCACGTGGCACTGAGTATCCTCCCACCAATCACTGAGTACACTTCCACCAATCACTGAGTAAGCTTCCACCAATCACTGAGTACACTTCCACCAATCATTGAGTATGCTTCCACCAATCACTGAGTACACTTCCACCAATCACTGAGTAAGCTTCCACCAATCACTGAGTACACTTCCACCAATCATTGAGTATGCTTCCACCAATCACTGAGTATGCTTCCACCAACCACCGAATGAGCTTCCACCAATCACTGAGTATCCTTCCACCAATCAGAGTACACTTCCACCAATCACTGAGTATCCTTCCACCAATCACTGAGTGTACTTCCATCAACCACGGAGTAAGCTTCCACCAATCACTGAGTATCCTTCCACCAATCAGAGTACACTTCCACCAATCACTGAGTATCCTGCCACCAATCATTGAGTGTACTTCCATCAATCACTGAGTATGCTTCCACCAACCACTGAGTAAGCTTCCACCAATCACTGAGTATACTTCCTAAACTTTATGTTTGTACATTTCAGTTATTCCCGTTTGTTGTAGTAATTAAATATCAAGTCAACAAGTATAACATTTTGATAAGAATGTAAAACAGGATAAATTTAAAATCAAAGAAATCCATCAGCAATGGCCATATACAATCGATGACAGCAGGGACAGCTCGTCACACATGTCTGCTCCCAGGACTTTCAGGAGGTATGTGGAGGGGGTTTTATCCTTCAAACCCCCAGAACTCACCATGGACTTTGGGTTGCCCGCTGGCCAAGCCAGAGGAAAATTGTCCTTACGAGTCATTTTTTATTGTTTAGCATCAGAGCTTTTGTATTTTTCCAAAATGACTACCCGAATGACCTTGATTTAAAACAGAAGGACGGTAAAAATTCAATGTATTACCTGGACTTCCTTTTCACTGACCAATAATCCATTTCTTGAGCATATTCTGAACATCTACTCTATGCACAGCAGTACTTTTAAAAAATCTAGGTGAGGGCTGGGACATCGTCTTTGAGGAAGCAGTGGCCATAAAAGCCCCAAGAAGGCCCTTCCTCTCAATCATCCCGTGGTTCAGGGGCCAGCAGGTGCGGGGCGCCTGGCCAGCCCAGGTGCTGTGCTGTCGGGCCTGACTCTAGAGGCTTCCGCGGGTCTTCAGGAGGCACGTGTGGCTGGGAGGACCGAGGCGGCACAAGACTTCCTCACCAAGGCCACGCGAGGTCTGAGGCTGGCGGGGCTGTGGTGGGGGTGTCGCTCCCCACTTCACAGTCCCTTGTTGAAGTACACGCGTCGTAACTCAGGGCGAGTCTCCCGGATCTGGGCCTGCAGCTCAGCCTCCAAGCTTGTCACAGACATGGAACTATGGTGAGGGAGGAAGGACAGCTGTCACACAGGTAAGGGTGGGGGTGGAGAGGTCCTGCTGTCCCCAAGGGGGTCTTGGCCCGCAGCACAAAGGTGCTGAATAGGAGGTAACCCCGGGGTCACCGAGAGGATGCGCAGGTGAAAGGTGGCGATCTCTGTCAGGTGGAGGGACCTGATCGAGTTTGTTCTAGAACAGAGTGCCTCGTCCAACACCTGCTCTGAAAGCCCAGAGCGGCACAGGCCCCGTGCTCGGGGTCCGTTGGCCCAGGGCGGGCAGCAGGAGGGTGGCCTGGCAACACACACACAAACCAGAACAGTAAAGAGCCGCTGCTCTGTGCCTGGAAGAGAGATCGGGAGGCGGCTGAAGACCTACATTTATGCGAAACTGATTTAATGCCCATCGATGTCCGGTTGTCACATCAAAAGGATGCAAGGGCAGCTTGGCATGAAAGTGCACAGTAGGGCCTTTAAGGCCAAACACCAAGTAGGAAAAAGGGGAGCAAATATACCAACCACTGGAGCTAGGTGTGTGTCATTGCTGTCCCGGGGGTGGAACACAAGTCCCAAGAGATCTGAATGACAGATCCACATGCCAAGGGGTTGGCCAGCGGCAGACCACATTTAAATGTTTATAAAGGCAAATTTGCACCAGAGTTAACCTGAGTCTCACAAAGTAAAAAGTACTTTCAAATGGAGCAGGAGCAGGTAGACAGAGTCAAGAGAGTTGTGAAATTAAACGTATGTGCATTTGATTTCTGCCTCCGGCTGTTCACGTAGAGACCTCAGCCTCCCTCAACTGCACAGACCTTGACTTTGCCGCCAATGAAATGGAATAGCAGCCCCTGTGTCTTCAACTGGTTTTTCGGATTAAAACTCGCGATGGTTCCCAAGAATAAAAATACGTACCTTTTTTGAGGAAAGAGAGCACAGCACAGAGGCGTAGCAAATACCAAACTAAAAAAAAAAAAAAAAATTCAGAACACTCAGTTTCCAGTTTACTTTTCCAACAACCCCCTTTCTCTCTTTTGAGCCCTATATTACCACACAAAAATGTTTTGTTCGTATCATTTTATTATACCAAGAACTGCCAAAATAATAATAATAAAAAAACCCCCAGAGATAAGGAGTTTAAAAAAGAAGCATGCAAACAGCCCACACATTGTAGGTTTCCTTAAAGACAGTTTACATCTAGCTAATTATTGGGACCCGAAGTCCAGGTGTTCTCAGATGGTCTCATTTCCAAAACCAGGTCCTGTGTCACCTCCCTGCCCCCTCCCCTTTCATACGCTGCACATTTATCTTTAAAAAACAAAACGGATGATATCGAAGGAATTCCACTCACCAGAAGCCAACCAGCCCAACCTGAATGGGCGCACTCATCCATGGGAACCTCTGTGTTGAGAAATAAATTGTGTTGAATACTTTTCGTACAGGCTCTTAGGGACCGTTTCTTCTGCCGAGTAACTGGAAGGAAGCCCTCCACATTACCAGATGCGAATGGGATGCGGTTAGTAGAACCAGGGGAGACACTGCCACAAGCGTGCTAGCCCTGACTTCCCGAGCTCCCCCCGCCCCGATCTGTCAGCAAACACATGTGCGAAGGCCAAGGGGCTTCTCATTTGTTTGCCTCACACACGTAATCCGAATGATGCTTGGCTGCCTATGGGAGGCGGAGAAATTGCTACTGTTTAGTTACAGTTTAGTTTCTGGCAGGGAGGCGGTCCAGCCTGGTCCCAGATGTCCACCCTGACAGTTTGTTCCCGTCTGTGGGGAGAGAGGGGGCGGAGCCCAACCCTCCAAGCTCTGGTGTCCTGTCTGCAGCACCAAGGGTCACGACAGCTTCCTAAAAGCATGTGGGTGCAAGTGCATGAGATCAGGTTCATGCAGCACCTAGGACAACGCCTGGGGTGGAGCAGGAGCCCACAAACACCCGCCCCCTGCAGCTTTCCTTTCTTGGTTTCAGCTGCTGTCGGTATGGTTAAGGCTACAGCCGGCATACACCATTTCTGCCTGCCACTTTTTAAAAATGGAAGTGAATGAGTTGGTCGGTCTTTTGGAGAACAAGGACTATTAGAGTTTTAGTTTTCAAAAGGAGTGGTACCCAAACACACACTGTAAAGAGCGATGCAGAGTATGGTCCCATGACGAAGGCCACAGGGGTAGCTTCAAGGAAGTTGTGAAATGGTTGTTAGGACATCGGCCAACTTAGTTAAGGGTCAACGCAGGCTGTTAGAAAATCACCATCCCAGGATGGTCGTGTGCAACGCGTACCCTGGTCCCCGAAGACTCCTCCGGTGACAGAGGGCGTCACACAGGTTAACTTGAGGGGAGAGAGGCGTGGACTAGAGAGGAAGGGAGAAATGTCATCAAGAGGAGACAGATCCCAGGAGTCCACCCCACAAAAGACAGCAAGAAAAGGAAATGCTGGATCTTGGGCAACTGGCACCGTCTGATGAAGGATTTTCATAAGGAAATGTTAAATCCTCGTCCCCACACTACCCAGACGTGTGACATCTAGGATGGTCACAAACTCGGTGATGGGAAGGCAAGCTAAGTATAGAAGGAGATGTCGTGAAAGGATATACTGGGGCCCACAGGAGCCTGGGACAGCAGCCTGCTCCTTTCCAGGGGACTCTTGTCTGCAGCCCCCAGGGCTGACCCGGCGGCTCAGGGAGCAGCTGCCTGTGACCTCGCAGGACTTGCGCATGAGCCTATGAAAGGCTCTCGGTGATGACAAGGGTCCCGGAAGATTCTGAGCCCATGAAACTCAACCTGGATGTCACCTCTGCTCTGATGCCTTCTGCAGCGCCCCATCCTGCACATGCACCCCTACTTCTAACACAGGACATTGGAGGGCTTTCGAGGGTGCAGCATCCTTCGGCTGGCACCAGGGGGCTGTGGATTTCTCTGACCGGTGGCTTCAAGGAGCAAAGGGATGCCAGAGAACCACTTGGATACTTTGTCGCGCATCTCACATCAGAACCACTTGGATACTTTGTCGCGCATCTCACATCAGAACCACTTGGATACTTTGTCGCGCATGTCACATCAGAGCCACTTGGATACTTTGTTGCCCATCTCACATCAACACATCAGACTGGATACATCAGTCCAATGTGGCACTCACCAGCACTGTTTTCTTCATTTTGTAACTTCTTGCATATTTTTCTAAGAATGTCTAAAGTGTGAACGAAGTGTTCCAAAGTGTCTGCTTTCATTCCCCATCTGAGGCCCGTCGGGAGCACACAGGCCAATGGACATGCCTGGTGGGCAGGCATTCAGAACTGTCTCCAGGACCCCATCACAGTTCTGTCTCCAGGACCCCAAACAGCTCACCCCAGCACACCTGCTCCCCCCCCGAGGGGCCCACCCACTCCTCCAGGCAGGTCTGACGGCACGAGCCAAACGGTCACCCTGTCCCCGAGTCTCCCTACTTGTAGGAACCGGGGAACCAAGGTTGAGCCTAAACCACTGTGTTGAATTATGGAAGCTGCGTAAAGAAGAACGCGCCCAGGTTCCTTGGTTACAGTTTCATCCTGTGATGCTTTCAGGCCGTGAGGAGAGGCCATTGGTAGAATAACAAATTATTAGATATGGCCTCCGGAGAAAAATGAACCAGGGCACTAAATTCACCCCCAAACCATTTCTTTCATTTCGGAGAGTATGGACAGCGACTCGTGGACACCAAACTCATACCCTCTCGTCATTACCACCTAGCTAAGGTGAGGTGTGTGACGGAGCCCTAAACTCACGAGAGGTGTGGGCAGCAGTTCTCATTCACCAGAGCTTTCTCCAGTACCCGAGACTAGGGGTAAAATGTTCCCGGAAGCAGCTTTTCATTTACGGACTCGCCAAGTGCCGCTGGCCTTCCAGTTCTTTGCCCGGGATTTAGGAGGGGAGCGCTGTGGGCGTGATGCGAGAGAAGGGAAGGAAAAGACCGAGACAGTGGCACATGCAGCGGGGGCTTACCTTCAGGAAGGCTTTCTTCTCCAGGGTGTTCATGATGAACGGCGGGATGGCTGCAAGTCAAGACGGACCCGCTGAGACCTCAGTTTCACGTCCACTCCCAGCTTGCCGTTCCCTCCACCCCCAACAATTTGACAAAAGGCTTATATCACTCTTAGGCTGTTTTTCACACTGGCCGAGTAATTATTTAAAATACTTCAGCATTTTTTGGGGAAAAAACCTACTGTTCTCATTCTCTAGGTTTGTGAAAAAGAGTGTAATGCTCTCTTCCAGCCAGAAAGTTCTATAAATCTTACGAATTTTGCGTTTAACTTTAATTAGGAACAGCACCGGTATCAGGGACATTTTGCCCCCTGTACTAATAAAACAAACGCAGTTCCCAGCAGGCAGGGGGAGGGTCAGGGCCAACCATGCGGTGACGAGAATAAAGACCTGGCCTTGAGTCCCGAAGGCCTCTTGCTAGCTGGGTGACCCTGGAAAAGTCACCTCACCTCTCTGAGCCTCGGTTTCTGTTCGATTTGTTTTTTCGTTTTAAATTGGCAAAGGAGCCCACCCACGGGGAGGGGGGGCGATTTCTTCGGTGCACCGACGCATGCACGCTCGCTCAGTCCGTATTTCTGAATGAGTGAGGGGACGGCAGCTGTACTAACCCATGCCGGGGGCCGCCATCAGGATCCTGGAGATGACCACCTGAGTGATGGCTTGTTTTGCTGCGTGCGCCGACTCACCCAGGCGGGTCCCCTGTTCGTCTGTGATGGGAATGCCGACCTTGAGTTCCCTAGAGAGCAAAGCACAGGCCAACATGTCCACAGACACCTCCCTGGAAGGGCTGGAAAGGTCGGGTCCCCATGTACCCTGGTCACCCACTTGAGTGTCACTTTGGGCATGAACCAGTCTCTTTTCACATCCCATGGACAGGTTTTGTCCTCACGGGACAGGCACGGAGGTAAAGTAACACAGTAACTTTGTTAAAAAAGAAAAGGGGGGGTAGCAATTTTACTTAAAATACGACTCAAGGGTGACTATGCTAACTTAAGAGTAAGGGTGATTTTTATGCTTGTAACCAAATTTGAGCAAGTTTCCAAAAGAGAGGAAGACCTAAGTGAGCTGACAGTGACCGAGGAATTGTCACCAGCAGGTGGAGCCATGGGGCACTTGTGACGAGTCAGAAACACATCACCAGTCACTCAGGCTTTCACTGCAGCTCCTGTCGTTACCCTGTTTCTTGTTATCCATTCCAAAATGATTTTCCTCATCCTCCTCTTTTAATTTTGACAGTTCTAAAAAAATACTTCCAAAGGTGTTAATTTTTGGAGTTTAAAAGGTATTTTAAAGTCCAAAGGAAAATTCTGGGGATGGTGGGGAGGAGGACCTATTTTAGAGAAAAAACTTTCTGTGTAAAAATCTTCCTGGCCCGGGCCCGACACAGCTAGACCTGGGTGTGAGAGAGACTCTTTCAATCTCGTTACCACACGGAACTAGGCGGCGTGTTCCAGCCTCCTGCACGCGACCTGCCGCAGCCCTTTGGCAACTCAATGGCTAAGCGTGTTTCATCGGTGAGTCCATCCTCACCCCCAGCTGATTTAGACACACGTCTCCACCCTCACAGTTTTATCTGTAGATGTGAAGGTCATTTTTGAAGCTTTCAGCAGAGCCAGTCCTTACAGGAGCCCCACTGCCACTGCCAGGCGGAGACGCGAGTCACCCACCTTTGCCTCATGAGCGGGATGTTGATGCAGTTCGCGGCGGCTACCGCAGCGAAGGGCACGAACCGTCCGATGAGCGGCGACACGTGCTGCGGAAGAGAGCGTCCCAAACGCATTACCCGATTGTCCCCACGTTCCCGAACGGCCGCACCGATCGCTTCTCTGCAGCAGCGGAAGATGCAGAGCCTGACTGTGTAGAAACTCAGGCCTGGGGGGACTTTCATGGCTGATTTCCCAGCGGTTTTTCTGTCTCCCCAGCTGAGCCATCTAAGGCACTTGCCAGAGCGGGGCTTTGAGTCCAAACGTCCTGAGGTCAGGGGCAGGCCTGTCCCCATCCCAGAGGTGCGGCCGGAGGCCCACCTCCTGCACACAGCCTCTGGTGGGCTGTTGGGCCGGGTGAGCGTTGAGTGCCTGACTTAGGCTGGACCACAGCGTCCCGCCCAGCAGCAGGGTCTTGGCTGCGAGTGACACCCTCCCCAAGCTTCCTGGAAGACATGACTAGTCAAAGGGAATGACAGTGAGGAAGTCCTCGCTCAGACTTGCACTGGTCTGAGAAACTGCAGAGGGACTCGGAGCGAGGCAGGGAGAGCCAACCGGGAAGCTTCCCCGGGGAAGGGGACCCCCAGCACCTTGGTCAGCGCGTTGAGTCCTAGCGCGGTCACCACGGCGCCCGTTGTCGCAGACACGTAGGCCGTCCCCAGTTCGCTGAAAAGAAGAAGGACGGCCCATAGGTAAACAAATAACGGGCACTCGGCAGGAACCTTTTTTTAGACTGATGGGGAAAGGAGAAAGGGCGCGATCAAGAATGGAGAGTCCACAGAACCAGGTCGCCATCGCTCTGCCGGTGGAGGGTCCGGAGGAAAGGCAAGCAGCGGGGTCCTTCACACGGCGTCGATGTAGCCCCAGACCTGGGCACAGGCAGAACAGGCCGTGTCGGCAGGGACGGGAGAGGCCAAGTGTGTGCAGGAGGCCACATGTGTGGGGACACGCATCACGGCCTACATGTCTGCGGCACATTCGTATAAATTAACAACATTCGTATAAACTTGTCACAACGATGACAGCAGGAGGATACAGCCTGCGAAAAGCAACTTAAAGTGACAGAACAGAACGCGGATGTGTTGGACAAGCCAAGCTAAAAGTTTTGGCTAACCGGTCACTTCCGCCCATCTGCAAATTTGTTTCAGGGAGGCAACCGTTTAAACGCGTTTACTTTGGCCCCAAAAGTGACTGATGTGGAAGACACATCAGGCATAAATGCAGGTGCCCTTGACCTTTGCAGAGAGCACACTGTGGCTGCCCATCACGTCTGACGCTGGCCGCTGTCCACACGCACAGGGCAGGTGGGGGTGGGACGTGTCCACTGCAATGGCCCCTCCCCCCGGAGCTGCGGCCGTGTGTTCTGTGGGGAGATGAGCCCCGGTGGGTGAAGACCCACCTACCAGCACCATTAATAGCACGAGGAACGTCCTCGAAGCCAGTATGGATGAAAGTCATCTCAACAGAGAGGGAGCGAGAAGGCCACAGCCGAGAAGCGCGCTCCATACACTGCTGGTTCAGACCGGAGCGCCATGCCACCCCGTCAAAGGGACAGCGGAGGGACAGCGGGCGGGCGCACCGGAGCCTTACTTGACAGTGAGCGGCGCGTCCCCGCTCCTGTTGGTGTAATTGACCACGGCGTTGAAGGACTGGTTCACCCACTGCCAGAACAGCACCGCCGGCGTGGTCCTGAAACAGAGCGAGCCGTCACACTGCCGCCACCGCCACGGGCCCCGCTGCTGTGCCGGGCGGACAACGCGAGCCCTGGTGACCACAGAGGAGGGCACCAGAGATGGGAGAACGCTGGGTCAGCGGCTTCGGGCCTGGTGGCCGGGCAGATGTTCACCATCCCCGGTTCATCACTCGTTAGAGGCGGGTGACTCGGAGCTGCGAGGGTCACCCTGAGGAGAAAGTGCCTTACTTCTACTGGGTCTTACATGTGCAGAGAGCCCAGAACAGAGCAGGCCCCCAGTGAATGTCAGGCCCTTTTCACTGGGAGGGAAGGAAGCCATCGGTGGGCGCAGCCATCCTGAGCCCTCCTACTGCACATGCAGCCCGAACGTCCCCGTCTGCACCCACACACTGCTCCTGTATCGCGGGAATGGGCGAGGACCGGAATTTGCGTAGACGCTCTTTTATCTCCTTTGTCCATCTCATTTCCTTTGGGTCTAAGCTTTAGGGGGAAAAGATCAAGCCCCTTTTGAACAACAAAGAGAAAACTTCAGCTGGGGGAGAAGGTACAACAGACCCCTACAGGTGCATCCATGCAGATTGGACCTCAGCCTGAAACCTTACTGACCTCAAGGACATCCTTTACATACGAAACTCTGCTCGAAGCTTCTGTGGCCCAGCGTGAGCTGTTGCCACCTCTCCACAACTCACCTATAAAACGTCATCATACAGCCTGTGATGGTCATGTTCATGGGGACCTGAGCCGACATTCGTCCTATCAAGACCATCTTTTCTCCAGTGTCGGGATGAAAAGCTGAGTCGTAGATGTACTTTGCTCTCCACAGTTCGTTTTCTGTGAGGCCTGGAGGAATGATCCCTCGTCTAGAGAAACAACAGCAAACAACAGTGTTGCCGGTGTCCGGCCCCTCGCCCTCGGCCAGGAGGCAGGCCGCTGGGCGGCCGTCATGCCCGCACTGGCTACAAACAGCAGCCGTGCGGGGGGAGGGACAGCCACATTGCCCAGAGTCAGTGAGGTTTCAATGACACAAAGGGTGATAAACCCTTAAAACAAACATTTCAAACCCACACATCTCCAATTATCTACCATTTGGAAACACTAAAACACACCTTGTAGAATTAGGGACGTAGTAAACTTAGAAATAGGGTTTTAAATGACACGTTGAAAGATGTATTTTGAACTTCGCAATCACTAAAATGTTTTTAACCCATTTGACAAAAGCTGTGGTGATCAAGAATATGAATTCAGTTTTGTGTGGATAGTTTGAAAACCTAGATCGGAAAAAAGCTCATTATTTGTCTCTGAAGCAATCAGCCCACCCTGACTCTGGCCAGTTTGCCCTTTGTGTGGTGCTGTCTCCACCGGGACCTAGAAAGGTGCTTGGGGTGGCTGCAGATGCAGGTGGCAGATGGGAAGGGGCAGGGTGCTGTGATGGGGGGGGGCATCACAGCAGGGTGCCGATGAGTTGGGGGGGTTGCTGTCTTATTTTCAGGGCACCGCGACCCCCGGACATCTGTGTCAAGGGCCAGCAATGGGGGATAAAACACACCTTCCTGTTTTTGTGTGTGCGCGCAAAAAGGATTCCATTGTGAAAAACAAAACTGTGAGCTTACGAAGTGAAGGTTTAGAGACAACAGGATAACATGATGCTCAGCTAGTACATTCAGCCGAAAGCGTGATCCCTGACGTTACCTGTAATCGTGCACGATTTTTCGGGCATTCTCTAGTTGTTCGTTGGTGAGCAGGATATTCCTGGGGTCCGTCACGGTGAAGAAATGGCTGGCTCGTCCCGCAAAAGTGCTCTGGTCCCATCGAGGCTCTTTGATGTTGATGTTTGGTGGGGGTTCCCCAGACATGGTCCTGGGCGGGGGAGGCCAGAGAGACACGTCCCGGTAAGACGTACGGTGTCCCACTGACCTTCAAGTAGAGGCGCATGGATATTCCTACTCCCCAAATAATTTTACGATGAGCGGCAGAAAGACTATCTAAACCCGCTTTGTCCATAAATCTCAACCAAATTTTAATCATTTCTGACATATGTCTCTTTATAAGCCCCTGGTTTTATATCCTTCATTACTTTTGGAAACCTAAAACCACTCCAGGGAAACTAGAAATAGAAAAAGTTAAAGAAAATAATATCCACAGTAACGCGGTCTGGTGTTTGAAACCCTTTTTCTGGGTGAAATATTCAACATCAAGCTACTGCTGCATTCCTTATTTCTACCAGTAGGTGGGGCTGTCACGGACCTGGGAGGGAGTGAAGTCCCTGGCACGTGGGAGGGGGAGCTGCGGATAAGGCTTCCCTGAAGGCTGCTGGTTCGTTTACTGGGAAGCGGCCAGCCCAGGCCTATGGTGCCAAACTTGCCCCCGACCTGCTGCCTCCCCTCCCCTAACAAAGGTTGAATGGATCGAAGATCGCACCTCTTTTCAGAGAGCAATGCCACACCGCCCAGGGACAGGCTGCACAGGACACCAGAGAATGTGTTCAAGAACGTGCACAAGAGTTCACCGGCTTTATAACACCTAAAGCAAGTGAAGGGTACCACCGAGCGAGCCAGGAGACACCCGTGGGGAGTGCAGCCTCTGCACCCCGTCCACCTGAGGCCCTGGTGGAGATGCGGAACCACTGAGACAGCGTCAGACATTCAGAGAGGCCGGGAAAGACAGACAGGAGGCGGACCGCACAGCCTCGGGGGACTAAGTGGCCAGCCTCCGCAGGGGGAATTTACTGACCAGTTACCGCTGGTTTAGTAACTGCAGGGGGTCAACAGCAAATGCTGTGCTTTACACACCGACTGGGCAGAATTCTGATTTTCAGCAGGTTCGGTTTCCGAGGTCTGAAGAAATGGTGGAATGGGGATGTAGCAGAGCAGAAGAGGCCGTCAAACTCCAGGAGAGAGACAGAGGGAAGTGCCGTGGCTCGGAGGCCTCTCGGGTATTGAAACACTAATGTACCTCGTTTTATTGTGCCTTGAAGACTGTGAGTTTGTACAACTCGAACGTCAGTGGCAACCCTGCCTGGAGCAGGTCTACGGGCCCTGTTTTCCCGATAGCGTTCGCTCAGCCTCTGTGTCCCAGTTCGGTGATTCTCGAGACAGCTCAGACTCTCATACTATTATATTTGTTACGACACTGTGCGATCAGTGATCTTGGGTGCTGTTATTGTCACTGGGGCTCCTTGAAGCCCAAGGGTGGTGAACTTAGTGGATAACTGTTGTGTGTGCCCCACGAAGCATTTATCCCTGGTCTCTCCCTCTCCTCTCCGGCCTCCCTGTCCCCGGAGACACAACCATAGTGAGATTAGGGAGCAACGGCCTCCACGGGTCCAAGTGAAAGGAAGAGAAAAAGGCCTCTCACTCTAAGCTGGAAGCGTCACTGAACCGTTGAGTTGTCCGTGGAGCTGGGACTTGTTGCGAGGAACTTTTAAACTTGTATCCCAGTCTTCAGGAGCCGTTCTGGGAGGCCCGCCTGCCTTCCTGCCGGGGTAGGGATCACACGGGCATTGCACAGCCAGGCAAGGGCCGGGCCTCTCCCCCAACACACCAGCCTTCAGGGCTGGTGAGCAGGCCGCTCCAGTGAGTGGGTGGTGATCTGTTCAGTCCCTAAATGGGTCTGCTGAGTCAGCCGGTCAGCTGAACAGGGTTCCTGGCTCCGAGTGGCAAGGCCCTCACTGTCCTCTCACTTGGAACCCCTGGGCAGACGTGACGAGGGAGGGAAGGGGTATAGGGTGTGGAGGAGGTTTATCTGGGTTCCGATCCCAGCTCCACCGTGACTGTCTCCCCGGAGACATCATCCGGGGCTCCGGGTCTGTGTCTCTTCATCAGCCTGGTTAGGGGATCGCCTAACGAGATCCACTGGCATCAGGTAATCACCGAGTCTAAGGGCTTGTCTTACAGTTTCTCATCCAGCCCTCCCAGCAGTGTCAGTACCAGGGTGGTTAGCGGACGCGCTCTGGTCAGTGTTGGTGCCAACTCGCTGACCTCAGTTGTCCAGCTCCAGAGTCCCTGCTTCCCGGAGAGGCAGTTGTGACAGACAAGCGTCTCCCTGGAAACCCTGATTCAAGAGTGTGGTGGGGCCTGGGACCTGACGTTTAAGAAGCATTCCATTGGTATCCCATGATTACACTTAAGTTTGGGAAACACTATGTTTGAGAGTGTAAAAATTATAAATAAATAATAACCAGAAGCTCTACCAGTGAAGGGAAGATTCTTACCCTCTGGTGGGGGCAACATACTTTTAGGGGGCTCCAGGGCCACTCGTGGGGCCTGCTGGGCCTGTCCTTCCGGGCTGGCTCCTGCCGAGGAGGGACCAGCCTGACAACCCGCGGGATCGCAGCTGGACTTTAAGCGCAGCATTCCAGACCCAAGTCCCGCTCTGTCCCTTCCTGCCTAGGCACGTCACCGGTGAGTCACTACCCACCTCTGAGTATCAGTCTTCTCATCTGCGGGGGCAGAGGTCGGCACTGGCTCCCAGAGCTGGTAGGACCCCCACGCTGAGACGCACAACAGAGCTTGGTGGGCCCCGACTGACTGCACCTTGCAGGCAAAGGTGAGGTTATGTCCAATAGGTCAGGCCTGCAGGAGCGAAGCAGTCGTCCACAGTGGCTGGAGTCCAGCCCTGACGTGCAGTGGCTGGGGGTGGGGGGGTGGGGGCAGGAATGGAACGGAGCTTCCCCGAGCACATCGAGGAGACAACCAGAAACACGTAAGCAAAAGAACTGTTCCCTGAGATGAACTTTACTCCAGAGGTTTGGCCACATGCCAGGAAGCCGCTTCACTGTTGGAAAAAAAGAATTTTCCAGAATTTCACAGAAAATAAGCGGAGAATGGGCTTCATCAGGGACTTTGCAACAAAGCCCTTTAACTCTGGCTAAAGATCAAGGAGGACAATGAAGGCGTTAAATGGGAAACGTGGCTAGAACAGGACAGCTGCCGGGACAGCTAAGGAAGGTCTGGCTGCCGGGGCTGCCCGCTCAGGGCCCGGCAGGAGTGGGGCCCTGGCTCGGTTGCTGTGGGGGGACGGGACTCCGCGCCCCTTGAGTGCCGGGCCCCCGGCCTGCCCTGCGCTATCAGACCATCAATTTCCTGCTTCAGCCCTTTGAGAAAATCACCCCCCCCTTCATGTAGTTCCTCCGAGACACCAAGTCCCAAGCCCCAGATGGCAAGCCTGGCAGTGGCGGCTCTGTCTGACCTCATGCCGCGCCCCCGCCCCTCCGAGGGCTGGGGGCCGTGCGGCTGCCAGGACAGTCAGGCCCACCCAAGGAGTAGCAAATGTCCTTCTCTGTCCGGCTTTCAGCCGGTCACCCCCACACAGCACCCCTTTCTCGTGGGCACGGCCACACAGGAGGTCGAATCAGAGAGCAGAAGGTGGACCCCTATGCAGAAGCCGTGTCCCTTCCAAGGGCATTTCCACTCAGCGCGGCCTTCGGCAGAGCAGGCTCCTCTAGTCCAGGGATGGGCCTGTCAGGCGAGGGGGGCGCTGCCTCAGATCGGATGGGGAGATGCGCGCAATTGCTGCCTTCCGCCCGGCTCCCCGCACGGTCCTCCTGCCCCCACTCCCGCCCCGCCACGCGGAGACTCCTCTTTTGTTAACTGTAAGACACCCAGCTGACAACACAATCCCTGTGCGTCTTCCAGTCCTTAAGATCAGTTTTGGGGTTGGGTTTCTTCATCAGTATCTTAGCATGGGTGAGGTTCTTCTTCATTAAAAAAAATTCTATTGCCCTGGCTGGTGTGGCTCAGTGGATCAAGCACAGGCCTGCGAAGCAAAGGGTCGCCAGTTCGATTCCCAGTCAGGGCACATGCCTGGGTTGTGGGCCAGGTCGCCAGTAGGGGGCGCATGAAAAGCAACCACACATTGACGTTTCTCTCCCTCCCTTCCCTCTATAAACAAATAAATAAACAAACGCTATTGGTTTCTGCTTCAGGTGGTGGCTCGAGGCTGAAAGTGATAAAATCCTGGCAGTCTGCAATATCTCGACATGTGTGGTTTTGTGTTTTGTCCACATCGAAGAGTCGACTCACAGATGATATGCTGTCTATGAAAATATTTTACAATAGTAATGAACTAAACATTGACTAGCTTTGAACTTCTGGGAGTTCAGTGTGGATTTGCTACATAGTCTAACTGCATTTTTCACTTTCTAGGCTAACTTGCACAGTCAGTTTTTTTTTTTTAATGACTTAACTGCTAAGGATTCTTTTCACCTTTAACCTCAAGCGAAAGGCTGCACCCGTGGCCGCACCCCGACCGACTGGGTGCGTGTGAGCACTGCCCGCAAGGGAGGGCTCAAGGCCACCAGAGAGCGGAGGAGGTGGGTCTGCCCTGAATCCACCGCTGCCCTGGTCGTCCTCCCAGCCTCCTCGGCCGAAGTCCAGGCGCGGAAGGGACGTTCCCTCCCTGTTGGCACCTTTCTACACCCATCCGCATGGGGGTTCAGAGAACTTGAACAGAGTGTCGAGGGCATTTTAACAGTCGGCCGAGGGGGAATTATAGGCAGCCCCGCTGGGGAGGACCCTGTCCCGAAGGCCCAGGGGCCTGCGAGCTGCACACTCCCCGGGACCCTGGACGGCACACTTGGAGCAGTGACCACACAGGTCAGCGCGGCCATTTGGACCCCTGCCGCCCCAGGGCAGGGAGGCCCTGCCTGAGGCCCCAGCCCTTCTCGGCGGAGCCCCCACTCGCCCTCCCACGGAGCTGGGGTCTTCTCCATCTTCTGAGTCAAGTCTGAGCCCAGCTCCGTGGTAACAGCTGCAAAGCTCCCTCTGGACCCAGGTGCCCCCTTCCACCTATGACGAAGCCTGGGACTCAGAGAAGCTCAGCGAACTGGGGGTAGGCGAAGGAAGAGAGAGTAGAGGGACCCGAGTCAAACTTGTAGGAGGTGAGGCAGCAGAGGGATTAGGACTTCGGAGGAAATTCCCGACCGAATGCCCTGCGGGCTCAGAGGCAGCTGCGCGCAGAGCACGGGGGAGGGAGCGCAGTGGAGCTCGGCGTTCTCATTGGGGCACGCACGATCACTCGCCCCGGGGGTCCGTGGGGCAGGCCACTGCCGGGTGCAGAGGGCAGGGAGGGGGCAAGCACCCCCTGGTCACAAGGAGAGAACAAAGCGGTCCAGGAAGCACAGTTCGCTTCAACTGTGCACACAGGTGCTAAAGGAAGGACTTGGGCCCGTCCAGCAAGGACGGGCCGAGGGGGGATTCCAGACGGCTCGGCCAAGGGGAAGCATCTCTGGAGAAGTGACATGTCCGCTGACACGCAGATGGCCAGCTGTGTGACCTTGGGAAGGTTGCTCAACCTCTCTGAGCCCAGTTTTCTCAGCTGGATGAGGAAGGCAATGCAAGTACCTCACCGGGATGGAAGAATATAAAACCGAAGGGGCCTAAATCACCCGCACACACTTAGTAGGTGACGTGGTTGTTGTCACTCTGATGAGGTTACAGACCTGTGACAGAGGGAAGGATCAAGGGCAGAGGCAGCCAAGGTCTGCCCCAGACCTGACTGGTGCCCCTCTCCTCCCTCCCGGCTGGCAAGTTCTAGGGCAGGCCCGGAGGTCCCCTCTGACCCCAGAGCCCAGAGCTGAGCCGGGGGGCAGCCAAGAACCAGAAGCATGAGGGGCGTGGGGGTCGGTGCCACCTGGTCGCCTGGCAATCGTGTGCGCGGTGCCTGTCCCCGCAGCAGCCATCTTGGGCGTCCTCCCCGCAGGGAGTGTCGTCACGCTGTCGCCAGAGACAGCGTGGCAGGGGGCGTGCGGGGCGTGCGTGGGTGAGCTCCCTCCCATCGGGAGAGCTCGTGGGGAGTGGGGAGCTGTCAGGCAGCTGATGGGAGGGGGTCCCCCAGATGCAGGGACCTCTGGCCCTGTCCGTCCCCGGCATGGCGAGGGGACTGGTAATCTCTCAGCCCGGGAATGTCCCTGCAGCCGGCACGCGGGCGCACGTCCCTGCCCGAGCCCCAGCCCCAGTGCGCGTCTCTCCGACATTCTCCCTGTGCTTTTCCCACCCACGGTTGCCACGCCACCACTCGCAACTCACCACTACCCTCAGGCTGCAGCCGGCAACACTTGCGGGACGCGGTCGGCGCAGCCTCACTCACCGCCGGAAGCGCTTCTCCCGCCACCGAGGCAGCGCGCGCCGGGCGCGTCCCAGTCCCCGCCCAGAGCCCGGAGGTCCGACTGGGCACCGCGCGCCGGCACTTCGGAAACCCCAGCCCCGCCTCCTGAGTCACCAAGCTGTCTCTAGGCCAACTCCCCTTCTGCCCCGCCAGATCCCCGGGCCAGGGCTTTGGGTTTTGGCTCCTTGCCGCCTCCCCCCCCCCCCCATCGCGATCCCCCAAGTTCATCCTCGCGGTGGTGTGGGGCTCTGCTCCTGCTAAAGTCGTGTTTTCTGTTTTAGTTTCCCGAGGGACTAGCCCTTCCTTAAATTTCTTTATTCCCAGGGTCTTTGCATAGAGTCAACATCCATTCAGTCCCTCACCCACTCACTTATTCAAACCAGTCTGTAGAAGTGAAACTAAGCTGAAAAATGCAAGTGACATAGAATTCAGGTGACGTAATTTTGGGCCCTGGGCCCAGCCAATCCTGAAGTTAGATTTGCTTCCTGGGCTTCCAGTTACGGGATCCAAAAAGTCTACCCACAGACACTTAAAAAAAATTGTAAGCCCTTGGGAGTTGGATTTATATCCCTGATTGCGGGGAAGAGGCGGGGGGGGGGGGGAGTGACAGAGGTGGTCACATTTGTACTGAATGCTACTACCTTTGAAAAAGTAGGAAAAAGAGGCAGACAAAAGCAGAAGAAATGAGCTGAGGTTTTTGGAAGGAAAAAAACCCCACAAGTGTTTGCATGTGTTTCTACCACTGTTTTAAATAAACAACGGTCAGAAACAGCTTCCACGGAAGCTGAAATAGTATTTTTCAGCCTTATTAATAAGGAAGCTGAGTGCTGGGGAACTCTTGCTAGGCTTGCATGGGCAAAGGTTGCAAAGCCCTTGTATTTTAATGCGGAGTTTGAACCGTTCAGGGCACGGCAAAAATAAAACAGAGCGCACGTCAGCAAAGATGGGGACATTTCTGAGCATCGTAAAAGTCAGTGAGATGAGGAAAGAGCTTGCTGACTGTATCCCAAGGTGAAGGTTTCCTCTGGGTAGGACAGGGAATTCAGTGATCATTAATGTTTCCCTTTAAAATTAATGGTGAAGTGAAAAATTTTAAACTCCAGGTTACATTAGCAAAGTTATGTGTGATGGTAAGAGAAACACATAATCACACAAATTTGAAAAGTACGAAAAAGTTCAGGAATATACTCTGTTTTCCCTGGCATTCTCTCTCTTCGATTTTTCATGATTTTCTTCCAGTAATTTCTTTTCTTTTCTGTCCCACCAAACTTCTGTTCATCTGATGCTTCAGGATCAGCCCTCAGTGTCTATGACCCAGACGCATGAGGCCACGGGGTTAGGGACACACCCCCTAAACAGGGGGGAGGAAGGAGCGTGGTCAGGGCGGACCTCTGGGAAGGGGTCCTTTCTCGTCTGCACGACTACACGGAGCCCCACTCACTGCCGTGTGGTCCTCCATTCAACCTGCCCAGGGGCCTCCGGCCTCTCGGGCGTATTTGATTCTGTGCGTGTTTTCTCAGCAACTTCGCAGAGCCCTGCAGAAGGGACACAGGGCAGCGCCTGT